GCCGGCGCTGGCCCTGATTTCAGAAACTCCGTAATGGGTGGTGAGGACAGTTACAGTGCACGTCACACCCCACACTGAGAGAGAGACAGACAGAGAGAGAGGCAGGAAAACTGAGAAAGCAAGCTGCCAAGTCCAGGACTAGAACTGTGGTTGGCCATGTGGGAGTCCAGTGCCCTAACCACCACGCCCCCTGCTGGCCCCCCTTTTTTTTAACATCCCCAGCTCTGGGGTTCCCACACTGACTGCCTCAAATCATGCACTATGTCTGGGGGTAGCAGGATTCTCCAGGACAGGGGACAGTCCTGGGGGGACCGCAGCAGCCCACTGGAGAATGCCCTGAAGGTGCCCTGGGGGAGGAGCCGCCTCTGGCCGCAGTGGGCTCCGACTAGACCAGCCTCGGCCTCTCCCTCCCGGAGCCCAGTGTTGCCCCCGGAAGCACCTGCTGGGCTGCCTCCCCGCCCTGCCAGGTCCTGCCACCAGAGGGCAGGCGGCCCTTCTGGGAGCACAGGCAGGCCCGCGGAGCCACGTAGGGTGGTTACAACCTCCACAGGGCCTGGGGACCCGTCGGCTGAGGTGCTGAGGGAGCTGCCCCCCGAATGGTCACCTGCTGGTAAAGGCCTTCTGTGGCAGGCCCAGCTCATGGGGCTGGCCTGGGGCAGGCCTGGAGGACTTCTGCAGGGGAGAGGCAGGGGCTCCAAGCAGCGCGGCCAGCCCTGCCCCGCGTGTAGAGCAGCTGCACCTCTGCTTGCAGAGAAGCCTTGGGCCCACGGAGTGGGCTCTGCCGGGAAGGAGCTCCTGGGGGTCGGGGAGGAGGCCATGCTGAACGGTGCTGCAGTGCTGGGCCAAGGCGGGCAGGGGCCAGGCCATGGGCTGGGCAGGAGGGTCCCTCCACCCCTAAGCAGCCTGGACGCCTGGAGCAGGGACGGCAGCTCCAGCTCGGAGCCCTCAGGTGCCCTCGGGGTGAGGGAAGGTGCAGCAGCCTCCTGGGCCAGAAAGGGGGTTCCAGAAGGCGGCGCCCAGCATGGGGGAAAGGCCTGGGGCAGGCACAGGTCCAGGCCTGGTCTCAGCGTGCTTGAGGACCAACCTGGGTGCACACGCTGTCCCAGGAGAGGGCGAGGGCGCAGCCTGTGGTCGGAGCCAACCTTCCCAGCTTGCTCTGGCAGTTGTGACCAGCATGCCACAAGTGCCACCGCCCAGGCTCGATGACAGGACCAGACAGTGTGTGTCCCATGACTGGTCACGGGGCAAGCAGCCCTGCAGCTGGACCTTGCACCCGGGCAGGTGACCTCTGTCGCTGCACCAGGCTCTCGGATCCCTGCTGGGAGTGGAGGCGTTGTCTTCTGTGTCCCCCCCCACCAACGTGAGTCCCCCGGGGGACGCGAGGAGGGGTATGCAGAGGGGCTGGGCCTGGGCTCACCAGATGGGGTCTGCCTGAGGGGCCCCCGGGCAGAGGACTGCTGCATGGACAGGTCCTGGTGTCTGGCGCACCGTGGGGGCTACCTCTTTGGTGACCTCCGGCAGCCCCTCGGTGGGCAGAGGGTGAGGGCGGGGATGCAGCCACTGCCTGGTGCCAGGCTCGCCCTGAGCAGGAGGGGTCGTGTCCAGGTGGCCACGTGCCAATGGCCTGCCCTCCCTTGAGGGGCTGTGTGGGCCAGGCGCCCTGGCGGGTGTAGGCCCCGGCAATTGGGCTCGGGGTGGCTTTCCCCACTGTGCCTTCAGGCCCAGGCAGGTGGACCCGGTGCCTGCTCTGGGAGTCTGTCCACCTCGAGCTCTGAGCAGGAGACTAGACACCTATTGCGTGCAGGGCTGGGTGGCCCCGTGACGGGACGGCTGGGCTCTGGGAGCTGACCCCAGGCCTGTGGCTGTCAGTTTGTCTGTCTGGCTTGCGGCTGCCCAGGCCCCTCCCCTCGGTGTGAGCTGTGGTCGGGTGGTGGGTGGCCAAGTCAAGGCTCTCACGAGGGCCGAGTCGGGTCACCAGCCTGCACTAGGCCAAACCAGAAGACACGAACTTACCCCCTGCCCCTGGCCTGCAGAGGGGGCTAGAACTGCCCAGGTCCCCAGTGCACAGAGGATGCCATGACCACTACGGCTCCACGGCCTCAGTTGGGTTTCGAGGGGGAGGGCATGCCCACCGTCCCCCAAGTGAAATCCCTCCCGCAGGGCTGGGTCCGTCCTGGCCACCCTCCACTGGGGCCAGTTGGTCTAGCAGGCGGCATCCTCCCCTGGCCTGGGATGGGCGAGTCCCGGCCGTGCTGCTGCCATGGGAGAGGGGGTGGGACTCCTGGTGGGGGGCCCCCAGCATGGAGGACGGGGGCGGGGGCGGGCTGCTATGAGCTGAGCATCATCTCAGAAAAAGTGCGTCTTCAGGACGGGCAGGATGTGGTGTGGGGATCCTGCCCGCCCGTGAGAAACAGGAAGTGGCATTGGGACGGGTTGGGAGAGGGCGGGGCAGGCGCCCTCTGGCAGCACCTGCTCTTCCCTGGCTTTCTGCCTGGCCGAGCTCTGGGTCCTGGGCTCTGAGCACCGAGAGCCCCGTGGCAGGGCCACAGGGGGGCCGGCTGGTGTGCTCCTGTCCACGCCGCAGTGGGCCTGGCCACGCCAGATCCACACCAGCCGCCGGGGCCATGCTTCCTCCACCCCTAGGCCTCAGTTCGACTCTGCTCAGGGATGCCCGCTAGCCAGAGAGAAACAGGGAGAGGGGGAGGGAGGGAGCCTGCCATGGCGTGTGGTCATGCTGCAATCCAGCTCCATTTCAGCCCTGTCGGGGGGCTGGGTACGAGCTACCTCGGTAGCAGGCCGTGTGGTCGGCCGTGTGGGTCCCAGCTCCCTTCCACCACTAGGCCGTGGGCCGGCCCCTCCACTTAACCCTGCTCCTGTCCTCTCAGGTCCTTTCCCGGCTGCACCGTGGGCCCTGGGAGGCCGCGCAGGGAAGGACTGTGTGACGCCATTGGAAGGCAGCGTGGCTGAGCCCCCGGTGCCAGCTGGCCTGCAGGGGACAGATGGCAGTGGGGTGGGGAGGAGGAGTGGTGGCCACCACAGGCCCTTTAAGGAGGACCCCGTGGGGCTTGTCAGGGCAAGGGCAGAGGCTCAGAGGCTCAGGGACTACAGCCGCAGGGAGGGAGGGCGCGTGGGGTGGGGAGGACCTGTGCAGGGCTGACCCCGAGGCTGCCCGCGGCCCCTGGGTGCAGCTCTGTGGAGGTGGGGGGTGCACACGTCACTTGCCTGCCTGTTGCACGGCTGCTAGTGAGACCGCGTGGGGCCACCGGCCTTGGGTCCTTCCCGCCCCACCATAGCCCCGGGTGTGAACCCAGTGTGAATCAGCTGCCACCATGGGGTGCTGGGCCTGAGAGCGACTCCGTGGCGACAGGCCCCGGCACCCCGACCGCACCAGGTAGAGCAAGGGCTGTCAGCATCTCTCGTGCGGGGGTGACCTGCTCACTTGGGGGCCTGCCCCTGGCGTGGCCTTCACAGCCCCTGGACAGTTTCCCGTCACCACCACAGCCCCGCTCACACTCAGCCTGCAGCCACCGTCCAGGGCTGGCGTCGCATGGGGAGTCCTGACCCAGCGGGCCAGAGCCAGCCTGTGGCAGACAGGGCCTGTGGGGCTGGGGCTGGAAGTTCCTGCCCTGGGACAAGGGCTTGGGGGTGGTCCTGGCTCACAGCAAGACCCCAGGGGAAAGCCCCCAAGAGGGGGAGGAGTCCAACTCAGAGGGCTTTGCGCCAGCCCCTCCCCCTCCTGCAACAGGAAGTGCACCCCCACACCCCACGCTGCAGGGCCCTGGGCTCAGTGGACAGCCTCCCTAGGCTCCCGGGGCCCAAGGTCAGGGTGCTGCCAGATTTGCTGAAGACACTTGGGCACGATCCATCCGGATCTCTGACTCCTGTGCACCCCAGGGTGGGCCGAGGGGGCTGAGCAGGGTGCTGCACCCTGGAGTGCCCAGGCGAGTGTCCTCCCCAGAGCTGCCAGGGCGGGAGAGGCACACTGGACAGCGGTGTCTCCCTAGGACTTGTGACAGGACCTTGTTAGGGACAGGGCCCTGGCAACATAATGGAGTCTCGAAGGTCACCGGCAGCCTCACTTCAGGAATGGCATCTTTTTTTATTTTGTTTTTGCCTTAGGGCACATGCACCCACCAGAGAGAGCGCGACAGTGAGAGGAAGGTGAGGAATCACCCCTGGGGATGGCCGCGTCAAGATCCCTTCTCCATTCTCCTCCTGGGATCTTGGGCACGCACGCATAGGTGCCTGGCGTGAATTCCAAGCCATAGGGTCCGGGACTTGAACCACGTCAGCCACACGGGAGTCTAGGGACGTAACTGCTATCTATCTGCTGGCCCCTGAGTGGCCTCTTGTGGGAAGAAAGGGGCCCCGTCACAGAGACGCAGACGTCACGCCAGGGAAAGCCGGAGTGGTGCTGCCCTGAGCCTGGCATCCCTGAGAGCCAGCAGCCTGGGCATGGGGGCTGGGACCACCCTGGTGCCTCCGTGACTTTGGACGTCCAATCTCCGGCCTGCAGGGACACGCGCTTACCCCGCAGGCTGCCCCGGTGCTCCTCTGGCCTCTAGCTTTCTCCCAAGCACACCCAGCACTGAGACGACGCTCAGGCTGTGGACAGGGAGGTGCAGGCTGGCCACTGGGCTCAGGGACACTTGCGTCCCCTGGTGCTTGGCATCAGATGTGCCCAGGCGTGGCCTGGCCGTGAGGTGCATGTGGCCAGAACCGCGCCCCTGTTGCATGTGCTCTCTGCCCAGCACGCCGCCGACACGCGTGCCACCCCCGGGCCCCAGATGGAGTCAAGCCCTTCCCTGCTTTTTTTATGAGAATTTTGAAACATAGAATTTTCTGGGACCAGCAGTTGGTGTAATGGCTATGTCGCTGAACTCCCGTGCAGTCAACTGAGGATCGAGTCCCAAACCCGGTGGCTTAAACTCACGCCGGGCACATGTGTGCCCAAGATCCCAAGAGGAGGATGGAGGAGAAGGGATTGCGGTGTGGCCATCCTCCCTGGGAGGGATCTCTTGCCTTCTGTCTCTGTCTCTCTGGTAAGCGCACATGCCCTATAGCAAAAACCTCTCAGAAAGAAGAAAAGAATGCTCTGAGCCCTGGCGTGTGTCGCACGAGGCTGCGAGGCCGGCCTACCGCCAGCAGCAGAGCTCACCTGGACTGCCAGGAGCGGCCCCCAGCCCGGGCTGTGTCCACATGCAATGACACGCCTAGTCTTTTTCTAGAAAATTCCATCACAGAAGCATGACCAGCTGAAGTCGTCGTCACCCAGCAGCCGCCAGTGATGTTAGAGGTGTCAGTTCACTAAAACGGTTGGAATTTCCTTTCTCACCCTAAGTAAATAAGCGTTCTGTCATGATTTGTTGCTTCGTGTTTGCACCCCTGGGGAGCCCCTTAACGCGCATAGCTGAGGCCCCACCGAACTGAAGCCCTGCTTCCACTGGGGCCCCCGTGCCGGTGCCCGCGCTGTCCCCCGCGCTGTCTGTGTGCCCCTTGAGGCGGCTCCTGTCGTCTGCGCTTGGAGGCGGTTCGTGTCTCCCTAGCCATTACTATGCCCGAGTGCCGAGTGACAACACAGTGTGGCTGTCACTGGGTGGCAGAGGCGAGGTCTTCCCTCTCTTTTTCATGTCTCACGTCCTTTAGGACAAATGTAGTTGGTTTTGTATTTGAAATCCTGGTTCTCGCTTGCTCTTGTTTTTAACGCCCAGGACGGCCTCTTCCTGCCCTTCCTGCTCCCGCGTGGCTCTCCAGGCTGCCGCAGCTGCTAGACTCCGGGCAGACCGGGGAGGGACAGGGGCTGGCAGCTCGGAGCTCGGAGGGGACAGCCCTCGCTGCTTGTGGCTCACCCCGGGTTGGGGCAGGGCCTGGAGCCAGGCGTGAGGAGGGTGGGTGAGGCCGGGGCAGGCGGGCTCCGTGCTCAGAGCTGCTCGGATGCTCAGCCCGAGTGGACCTCGCCTCTGGGGAGCAGCCCGTTTCCGACTCTGCTTTCCCGTTTCTCTCCTAAGCAGGCTCTCATTGACTCCTCCGTCATCCTTTCCAGTCCCAAGTGCGTCTTCCTGCGTCCCACTCGTGGCAGAACGCGACATGCGTGTATCGGGACACATGGGACATGGGCCTGGGCCTATGCACCCCGCTGCGGGTTTTCTGTCTGAAGCATGTAGCCAGTCCCCGACGTCCCCACGGGGCGTTGACACCCCGCTCGCACGCTGACCTGCTTCTCTCTGCCAACTCCACCTGGCCCCCGGTGCTCACGGTGAAGTCCCCGGGCTGTCCCCTGGGTGCCCCGGTCCTGCGCGGCCAAGGACAGGTGCTGCCGGGAGCTGCCCTTTAGCTCTAACTGGAGAGCCTGCCTGTCTACACTGGTCACAGAGACGCCTGTTCAGCTCTGTTCTAATTCCTGTGGTCGTGACGGTTGCTCTTTCGCCTGTTAAATCGAGACTCTCTCTCGCCTTTTCCCAGTTTCCATGAACTACACTTTCGGTCTTTCTCCTGTTTTTACTGCGTAGACCTCTCCGTCGGCCTGGGCTCAGTGTGACTGCTCTTCCACCTGTGCCTGCTCGTCTGCCCAGGGCGGTTTCTTTCTTTTTATTGGAGGTTTCCTCCCCCATAGGATACATGTGCTCCCCTCGAGAGAGACAGAGGAAGAGAGAGCGAGAAATCACTCCCCAAGGTGCCAGGTCCAGGACTCGAACCGTGCTGAGCCGTGTGGGAGCCCAGTTCCTTAGCCACCACGCCAGCCGGCCACGACCGGCTTGATTCCTTAACCTGTGTCTTCCTCTGAGAAGTGTCTCAGCATGTTCTCGCGTCCCTCCGCCTCCCCGCCGCCGTGGCGGACGCGCGAGCCCTCTGGAGCAGCTATCTCGGACAGAAGCAAGCTCTATCTGATGGCCCTGTCTCGTGCTCAGCCTGTGCACGCCCTTCCTCCTGAAGCACTTCCTCCAGAGAGTCAAGGTCGAGTCCTGCCACTGCGTCTGGAGCCCTAAGAAGCCTGGGGTCTTTCTTACATCCTTTCCCTTTGTGACAATTTGGCTGGCTAGGACGCTCCAGGGCCAGGCCTTTGCTTTCTGTTTCCACGTGTTATTCCCCTGTCCCCTGGAAAGTCCGGAGTCCGAGTCGTAGGGTCTCGCCGCGGGCAGGGTGTCCATGCCTCCCGCTGGCCCCGTGAGCTGCCATGACATGCACCCCTTACAGCTCTCTCGTTCCGGGACGCTCCTCTTCTACCGTCTGTGTCTCTCAGGTGCCCTCTGTCTCTCTGTCTGCCCGTCCCCCTGTTTGCTAAGGTTCCTGGAGGGGAGGCTGGCAGGGCGTCCTCGGGCTGGGCCATGCCGTGGCCCCCGCAGGACCACCGAGCTCACTGGCAGCACGCTCTCCTCTGCGGCCACCACCGTACTCTGTGGAGGGGCGGGGAGAGGCAGGGAGGGCACAGAGACCCCGCTGTGCCCCTGCACCCCTGCTCCTTTGGTGGTGCCAGGGGGCGGTGACAGGTGGGGGCACCCGGCAGCCCCACTGTGTCCGGCCTGGCCCTATGCCCCCACCCCTGTCCCCAGGTGCCTGTCCCCAGGTGCAGCTCCAACCAGGGCAGGACTCCGCATGGTAGACAAGTCTTTTTCCCCAAGGGCCTCTGTGGTAAGGAGGGGTCTGGAGCTTCAGTGTGGGGACTGAGGGGACCGGGAGCTGGTGCCAGGGGCTGCCGAAGGTCACCCACCCCTTCTCCAGGCTGCTGGACTCCTGGGTGGGTACGGACACCCAGCTTCTCTCCTGCCCCTCCCCCGCGGCCTCGCACACGGGGCCCACGCTGCAGGGAGCCCGGGTAGATGTGGGGGCTGCAGGCTGAGAAAGGAGCCAGCCAGGGAAGAACAGTGTTTTATTTCTGCCAAGGCAGGTGCGCTCCTCTCACCCCTCTGCTGGGCCGCCCTGGCTTGGGCGCCTGCCGGAGGGCGAGAGGCCCAGGGCTAGAGCTGGCCCAACGGAGAAGCCCGCCTGGCCCTGGTACAGACTCGTCGCCTCGGAGGCTTCCTGAAGGGGGCTCCCAGCCCGGCTGGGCTGGCCGGGCCTGGCGAGCTCCACCGGGCAGTGCTTGGGGCGGCGAGGCAGGGCCCACGGTGCCCGCCGGCTCACTGGTACAGGTTGGGGCTGGACAGCGCGTTGGGGCGGGTACAGGACATGTCCTCATACACCACGCAGGCCGAGCGTCTGTCTGTCCGCCGACAGGCGTCCTGCATCTGAGAGAGCCTCGTCTCCCACCCGGCCTGAGCGCTCCTGGCACCTGCTTCCCTCAACACCCCCTGGGAGACTTCTCGTTTTTACCCCAGGTCTGGGCCGGCCAGTTCCCGGGGCCTCCACCAGCGCCCCAGGTCTCTGCGTGCAAGCGGCTTCTCCGGACCCAAAGGAAGGGCAGCAGGCAGCTGAGGGACGAGGGCAGAAGTGGCCACTACGTCTCCCACCCGGCCTGAGCGCTCCTGGCACCTGCTTCCCTCAACACCCCCTGGGAGACTTCTCGTTTTTACCCCAGGTCTGGGCCGGCCAGTTCCCGGGGCCTCCACCAGCGCCCCAGGTCTCTGCGTGCAAGCGGCTTCTCCGGACCCAAAGGAAGGGCAGCAGGCAGCTGAGGGACGCGGGCAGAAGTGGCCACTACCCAGTCCTCCGCCTGCTGGCCTTGCACACTGCCAGCATATGCCCACTCAGCACACACACACACGTGCCCAGCTTCACACACGCATGTGGGCATGCAATTCAGCCTCACACATGCTCACACGTGCACACACACTCAGTCCCACACAGGCTTATGTGTGTGTACACAGAGCCTCACGCAGGCTCACGTGTGGACACGCTCAGTTTCATGCAGGCTCACACATGCTCACACGTGCACACACAGTCTCATACCAGCTCATGCATAGACACACACACTCAGTCTCACGTGGGCTCACACACCGTCTCACACGGGCTCACATTGGACCTGCCAGCGGCCCCTCACTGTCTGGGCTGTCCCCTCCCTCTCAGTGTCCCAGCACAGGGCACTCCCTGGCCCATGCCTGTGGCCGCTCCTCCCCCGCCCTCTACCTGGCGAGCTCCCTGCAGGGGACATGGCGTGGACGCCCGGGGTCCACGCTGCTCCCTCCCCCCCTGCTCTCATGGGGGCTCACACTGACCTGTGTCCTTCTGAGCACACACACCAGACCCAGGCTCAGCCCGACGAGGAAGGAGACCACAGCGAGGCCGGCCGGGAGGGCAAGGGACTCTTGGCATCTGTGTGCCCCTCCAGACGGTTTTTCTGGGAAGAGGAGCGGAGAGGCCCTTGGCAAGAGGGTACTCTCCCAGGTTATGGAAACCCCATTCAGGGTTCAGGACAGAGAGAAGCCGAGGAGGTGGGGTGGGGGGCAATCTAGGAGACTCCCTGGAGGAGGCTGGGGGTGGGGGCTGTAGGACCTGGCTGGCCAGTGGTAGGCGGAGGGGACCGGGCGGCACATGCCTCACCTGTCACCACGACCAGCGTGCTGGCTTTCGGTCTAGGGCTAAGGCTATGGCCTTCTGTGATGGGCTGGCAGGTGTAGGCACCCGAGTCAGCCAGCTGCAGGTGGTGCAGGGTGATGGTCAGGTTGCCCTGTGACCCCGAGAAGCTGACACGGCGGTGGAAGCGCTCATCCACGGTGGGCTCCTTCCCGTCCTCGTAGTAGATGGCGTTTGCGACCCGGGGCCAGTGCGGCTCCAGGTAGAGCCCCAGCAGCGGCCCGCGGGTGGAGCAGGTGAGGCTCACGGAGCCCCCCTCCGGGGCGACCACATAGCGGGGGGTCTGCTGCACCTCTAAGGAAGGGCCCCGCTGTCAGCACCGGGCAGCCAGCAGGGCAGAGGACGGCCCAGCTGAGAGAGAAGGCCCAGCTGGGGGCCAGGCCGCCTGCACCCCTCCTGCCCTGCACTGCGGGGTCGGAGCCCAGGCTTCCTCCTTCCAAAGCGGCCGGCCCTGGGCTGGGCAGCCCGCCACTCTCCAGCCCGTCTGCTCGCCCCTGAGACGGCTGTGGTCACCGTCCTCTCCCCTTGGCCTGCTCTTTCCAGAGCTGGTGCCTCCGTTCCCTGCACCTCTCCCAGACGCCCGAGCGCATTCTAGCTTGTCCACGGGATTTCCGGGAACAGCCCTCGCCTGACCAACGGCACCCTCTCCTCAGCGCAGGCACGAGGCCCACCCAGCTCGGTCTCACCACGAGTGGCCGTGGCTGTCCTTGCGTTTGCACGAGGACGGCTGCCAGACCCGGCGCCCCTTGGCTGGGCTGTGAACCTCGCCCTCACTGCGGAGCTGCTGACAAACTAACAACGGAGCCCTCTTACGACCAGGGTGACGCCGCTGACTGTGGAGGAGAGGCGTGGGGCAGAGAAGGGCAGAGCAGGGGCCACCGGCTGCTGCACATTTTGCCCCCCCCCAGCCATCTGGCATCTGCTCAGGGCCGGTCTCTGTGGGCGCACTTCCCATCCCTTCCTGGGAGGGGCGCCCCAGGTGGGGGCCGTGCGATGGCCCTTGCTGGGGCGCTGAGCCCACCTGGGGCATTGCTGAGGGACCGTGGCCACGAGGGTCCAGGAAACTCTTACCTTGGGCGCCCAGAGCCCCAGGCAGGACGAGCACCAGGAGAAGGGGCAGCGGGAGCCAGACCATGCTCCTCACGGCCCAGCGAAGGTGACAGCAGGCCTTCCCACTGTGGCGCCAGGCACCACCCATGGTGACAGTGACAGTGACTGAAGACTGCCTCCCGCTGATCCTGGGCGGAGGTGGGGCTAGAGCAGCAGGCAGTGACGGGGTCAGAGAGGCTTCCCAGAGGTTGCTGAGGGGGAGAGGAAGGGAGGCGGGGCCAGCAAGGTGGGCGGGCCCTCTCCTTGTCCCCTCCCTGACTCTGCGTCCCTAGTGCCACCGGGCCTGTCCCTTCCCCCGGTTCTTAGGAGGGGCAGATCTGGTGGTACCTGCGCTGCTGCGTGCAGGCGTGCAGGGGACCATGCACCATGGGCCTACATGTCCCCCCCGAGAGTTGCCCCTGGAGACGGGAGCAGGCCTGTGCAGGGCCGGGTCCTTCAGTGGGGCTAGTGCTGCCCCAGGGCAGGGGTGCAGGGGGCAGAGGAAAGGGTTGCAGGGTCCTGAGAGGGCCTGGCAGGAGGCCATGAAGTAACGGCTGGCCGGGCCATGCCTCTGCGCCTTTGTCACCAAGCGGTGCACGGACAGGACGCCTCCACTGGGCAGTCTAGGACTCTTCCAGGCCAAGGGCAGCGTCACCTTCAGGTGACGGACACTAGAGAAACCCTTTCCAAGTTTATGTTTCTTCACTTAAAACATTAATTTCCCAGCTAAGTGGTTTTTTGATTGATTTTATTTATTTTGAGGATTCACGTTATGAAGACTCTATAAGGTGTTTAATGTGGTCCTTTCGCCCTCCAGTGCCAAGGGGACAATTGTTCCCAGCAACAGAGAAACACAGCCGCAGGGCTGAGGCCGGAAGGACGGGGCCCTACGGGAGGGAGTCGGAGGCTGCCTGGCCAACCTCCCTGGCCGCAGTGCGCCCCCTGCTGGGCTCAGAGCCTCTGCGTCTGGAGGGTGGGGTGCGCCCAGTCCTGTGCCTGGCCCCATCTCCCGTCCCTGCTGTGCTCCAGGCCAGCAGGAGCAGAACCCGTGTCCTCGAAGAGCCCCTTCTGCTGGAAAACAGGCTCTGGCCCTGAGGGTGTCTCTTCGGTGTCTAGAGAAGGCGGCAGTCCAGGCCCATACCTGGCCAGAGTGGTGTGGGGTTGGCTTGGGTGGGCCCTGCACCGCCCCAACCTCCCCAGCCCCAGGGAGGGGTGTGTTTGGGGGCAGAGGGAGGCCAAGGCACCCCAGGTCCCCACCCGTCCAGCCGGCCTGGGTGCAGGGACTCTGACCGGCATGGGCTTCTAGGCCTGACGGAGCATCCACCAGGCAAGGGCACAGATGACCAGGACGAGGAGAGAGGGGACGGCGGCCCCCACCACGGACCGGGTCTGCGGCTGGGCCTCTGCCAGGAGAGCTGGAGGAGACGCAAGCAGGTCTGGGGGGAGGCAGCGGCCCAGGGAGGCTCAGGGCAGTGGGAGGCTGCGGGTGCGAGGACGTGCCTGAGCCCCTGACCCGGTGGGAACACTTACTGAGGGCAGAGCCGAGCAGCTCCCTTTCCCCTCCGGTCTCTGGGTCTTGGGGCTCTGTAGGGAGATGCTGGGGTGAGGCCAGCCTGCTGTCACCCCTAGCCCAGGGCATCCAAGGGCACCCTGTTTCCACAAGCCCAGGGGGCGGCAAAGCTGACCCAGAGTTCAGTGATGGAAGTGGTTTGGAACCATGTGGGGGAGCCACCACAGAGCTCAGTGAGGAGCCATGCCGAGGGGCTGGGAGCAGGGGGTGGGGGGCAGGAGGGCGCCTGCACAGCTGCTGCTGGGCACTTTGTCTTCTCCAGGAGTCAGGGACGGGCGTGTGGGGTCAGGGACGGGCGTGCAGGTCAGGGACGGGCGTGCGAGGTTGGGGGTCGGGACGGGTGTGCGGGGTCGGTATGGGCGTGCAGGGTTGGGGGTCAGGACGGGCGTGCGGGGTCAGGACGGGTGTGCGGTGCGCATCACAGGCTCTGGGTGGAGTGAGGAGGGCATGGGTGAGTAGGGGTCATTCCCCAGGGAAGGGAGGGAGTTGGGGGGACCAGGGATGAGTCGGGAGGGGTTCTGGGGAGTACACCCTTGCTAAGAGCTCAGAGCAGGACATGGGAGCCAGGGCTGCTGGGGCCAGGTTGGGGAGCCTGGGAGTCCTCGCATCTGGGGAGCCATCTCTGTGGCCACCAGGGGCCAGCTGGGAGCTGACTGGGAGCCACAGTGCAGGGGGCACGGCCCTATGCCCAGGGAGCACGGAGAGCCCGGGGAGCACAGGGAGATCGGGGGAGCACGGGGAGCCTGGGGAGCTCGGGGAGCATAGGGAGCTCGGGGAGCACAAGGAGCACGAGGAGCCCGGGGAGCACGGGGAGCTCAGGGAGCACAGGGATCTTGGGGAGCACGGGGAGCCTGAGGAGCTCGGGGAGCTCGGGGAGCATAGGGAACATAGAGAGCCCAGGGAGCTCAGGGAGCACAGGGAGCACGAGGAGATCAGGGAGCACAGAGAGCCTGGGGAGCACAGGGAGCTCGGGGAGCACGGAGAGCCGGGAGCACGGAGAGCCCAGGGAGCACAGGGAGCACAGGGAGCCTGGGGAGCACAGGGAGCTCGGGGAGCTCAGGGAGCACAGAGAGCACAGGGAGCCTGGGGAGCACGAGGAGCTCAGGGCGGGGCAGCCTCACCCCAAGCCGGCCTGGGAGGTCCGGGTGGTGGACCCTGGTTGGCTGCAGTCCCCTCTGCACCCCCACCCGTGGGCCCAGCTGCTCTGGGGACTGCCTTCTCTGTCCTGTTTTGCTGGAACCCAGGCCTGCCCTCTGTGGGCCTGTGCCCTGGGCCTCCGGCCCTCCCCAGGCACTTCCTCCTGCTACTGCCCTCCCAGGGGGGTCGAGACGCCCGCCCCCGCCTGCGGGGC